ACTTCATTTGTCGGCACCAACATTTGACAATGTCAAGTCTGTTCAGCTGACTTGTTGCTGCTGCTGTCTTTGCCGTTTCTGCCCATTTACAGACACGTCCTGTGATTGAGTTTGTCTACTCTATTCTATTATTTGTGTATGTGTGCCGATTGATCGGTAATCACAGGCTGCTTAAGGACAAAAAGGTCAAATATAAAAAAGTCAATGTCATGAACATTCAGCAGTGCAGTGGTAGTAGCACTGCTCTGCAATTGTGACAAATTCAGCGCACAGTGGACCGTGTCATGGCTGCTTCAGGTAATTGAGTACTTGTTATTAAAGTTGTAGTTGCCGGTGGACAAGCGACATACAAATAGAAAGGCTTAAACGAGTTACAAGGTGTAATTTATGGGCAAAGTACAACGTGTAAAAAAGTCACGTAATAATAGAAACTGTAAAAGTAGTAGTATGCTTCTGATCTGCTGAATGAGCAACAGATGCCATCATCAAGACGATGATAGCAATGTCAAGTCAGTAGCACTGTCCCAGTGGTCCATAGTTATCCCGGTCTGGAATAGTACCACTCGCACCTTTGCAATACTGGCAAATGCCAATGTTTGTCTTTGTGAGCGCACATTTCACCAGTAGCACAAAAGAGTTGCCCAGAAGTGGCACTTGAATTTTGCACTTTTACCTCTTTCTGACTCTCCTTCGCTCTGGCCTTTTAATTGAATCTCTTTTTGCTCTCTCCTTGGCTCTATCCACTTGGCAAACAAACTCAGAAGCTCTGTCAGTTGTCCGGATCCGTTTCCATTATGGCAGCTCTTATTTACGAGTGCACGGGCTGCAGCAGGCTCTCTGCAAAGATTGGATTAATATGACGTTTATGACTTTGAAGCCGGTGACCTTGCCAGCAGCCAGGCAAAGCTGCGACCATTTGAGACCACCATCATCACCAGCACTGGCTGGCCACTGCTCCACTACTGTTTGGCTGCTGGTTCTGCTATGCTTACATACTAATTTATGTGACAAATAAGATCGGGTGACCTTGCCAATTGAGACATCGCTGCACGTGTGTCACCAAGCTGGTGAGTGCCCACTGCAAGTTCAGGGGCACCATACTCATTTGCATCTGTCTTACACAAATGCCGATGATATCAATTTGCTACTTATTCATAGTTGCAACTTTTTTCACATAAACTTGGCCTTTTATTATAAAAGTCTAATTGTGGAGAAAATTGAGATGCGATTTGGCAGTGAGATTGGTAGTGGCGATTTTTCAATTCCATTCAATACGATTCAATTCAATTTAAACGCGCCTTACAATTTAAAAAATCATTCTGCTTTGCTGCGTTTTAAACTGATGCAAATTAATGCATCTTGTTTGTTCAACTGACGACTGTCATTGTCAACTGAGAAATTGTGTCATTGTCTGTTTTCTTGCTGCTCTTTACTTGTTAGACCTCTTGTAAACACGAAGCCGCTTGTCTGGTGAATGGCTCAAAAACGGGGACTGTTGTTTTGTGGTGCATTTCTGCAACAATGTCCTGTTGAGGGAGAAACCTGTGCACCCTCAGCCTCACGGTCAACCCTGTTTCAACTTTTTTGTTAATTCAATTTATCGTCATTTGCTGAAAGTGTAATCGTAGTGGTGGTGATGGTAGCGGTGGTGCCAGCAATCGATCGATCGTCATTAATTGTCCGGTGCCGTTCTGACAGTAGCCGAGCACTCCATTTCCGACAGCTTTTTCACTTCTGCCGGTGTTTGTCTCTGCTCTTCTCTCGTGCACTCCACTGACACCAATTGGCCCAGCAGTCGAACATGGCCATCGACTCTCACTCGAATCAATCACCGCCTGAATGTGATCAACGTGGAAATCACTTATTTAGTTGAATGGACAACGCACGTGTATTTCAGTGCACCCGTCTTTATCGATCGACTAAGCTCAGCAGCACTGAAGACGAAAAAGAAGGACCCACTCAGTGTGATCATCGGGGTCGCACAATAGGCGCCCTTAGCCCAAGAGAGAGAGAGAGAGAGACATGCCGACAAGAGCAACACAACACAACTAGCCGGTCGATTATTATTATGCTAAACGCCGAGTGTTTGCTTGATTAATTTGCACAATAATTATTGTCGCTCAAGCAGTCAACTTCTGCTACTTGTGGAAGTGCTCTTGTGCTGCACTTCTTCACACAACTGAAGCTTGTTGCTTTCACTTTGCATTTTAAAGCTATTGAGCGACTGCTCACCAAAATTGCTACAACTTTCCAATAATTTGATTAATCGTCCTACCCACTGACTCAGTCGTCGGTGGCTAGAAAGAACAGAGTTTGCGACAAATAATAGAAAAAGCTTCAGAAAAGCACCTCAAGTCGCACACATAGTCAGTGGGACAAAGACTGGCGACAATTGAACGCATGTCGAATGCCGCTGCCCGACACATGTAATGCCTGCTCAACGATGGTTAATCTACTTTAATTTGATTTTGCACACTACCAAAGTACACATAACATCGAACAGGCAGTGGTAATTGCAGTGGCAGTACCTGGTGACGACAGTAGTTCAACTGCACCCATGGCACCCAAGGAAAGAGATAGAGAGAGAGAGAGAGAGAGAGAGAGAGCGAGAATGCCACCGAAACCTGGCAGATCCCGTGCTCCATAAACGATGGACTAAGTGTGTGTGTGTTTTTGTGTCACCATCTTAATCGTTTCCCTGTGACACTGTTTGGCCTTTCCGTCAAAGCACTTTTGCAGCAACGACGAGGTGTATTAATCGAAACCTACATTTGCTCTAATCACTGCAACCTCCTTCTAAAGCATTTGCATCTTTGCCGTTTTTCAACTCGTAACTCAGAATTAAGTGAATTGAGTGTCGCCAAAAATCATAAGTTTTTAAACTAAGAAATAAAACACAATATGGCCGAGCTTTTCTTCAATACCTTCCAATTAGAAAAATTAAAAAGTTTAAAGAAACAGCCGCCAAAAACAGATGTGACTAAAGGCAAAACTGTGTTTGTAATAGAAAGTGAACACATATTCTCGGAATAAGAATGCACACCAACGAAGTGTGACCGCAGACGGTGTGTGTGTGTGCCTGGCAAGTGCACAGTCGTACACTTTTATGAAGTGCCGCTCGAGTCAGAGAGGCCCCAGTCCGTCAGCTAGCCAGGCAGTCAGTCAGTCAGACTGTAAGCCCGAGGCTCCTTGCGTCCTTTTCGTCGTCGTCGTCATGAACGTCGCAGCAGCGAACGTCCGGCAACAGTCTGAAAGCAGAGAGCCCGTGTGTGTGCAGTTGTGTGGAGGGCACAGACAGTGCTCAAGAGCATGTGGTCCNAAGCCCGTGTGTGTGTGCAGTTGTGTGGAGGGCACAGACAGTGCTCAAGAGCATGTGGTCCGGCCATTTGACCATCTGGCCAAGGGGCTGCAGACAGGTGCAATTTTTGTACTCAGCANCACAGACAGTGCTCAAGAGCATGTGGTCCGGCCATTTGACCATCTGGCCAAGGGGCTGCAGACAGGTGCAATTCTTGTACTCAGCAGAACTTGCTCAGGTTGTTGCTATAACTGAAGCTGGAGAGAAGCTTTAAACAAAAAGAGAGTTGTGAAATGATGAAATGAGAGAGATGAAAAATGATGATGGCNAAACTTGCTCAGGTTGTTGCTATAACTGAAACTGAAGAGAAGATTTAAACAGAAAGAGAGTTGTGAAATGATGAAATGAGAGAGATGAAAAATGATGATGGCACAAGTGACTAACACGCAGATAGAGGCTCAACGGTCAGTTGAAATGGGGAACACCAGTGTCCAAAGTCAATACACACAACTTTAAAATTGCGTCAAGTTAATTTTAAAATTATTGGATGTTGTATACAAACACAAAAAATCAAGGGTTAAAATATCAAATTTTATTTGACACAAAGTCACGTATATTAAATTGCCAGAGTATTATGCTGTTTTGCATTATATGAGAATCTTACAACAGTTTCCGAATGCTGCTCCTTCTGCTCTTCACGCATCACTGCACATTCGGTGATTCATTCACAAGTTATCAGCGACACAGAGGGACTTGGTGACGAGGCGACTGAAGGTGACTGAGGGCGCGCAGACCACAGCCGCGTGTCCACAGTGGTGGTGGAGGAGGAGAAGAGGAGAAGGAACGAGCCACTGGGCAATTGGCAACACCACACAATCCACTGACCATTAACGACCTTTGCACTGCAAACAACAGGTGCTAACTGCAGCGTCTTCAAGTATGCTCTGACTGTTGCTGCCGTTGTTGATACGTACCCTCCAGGGTCAGTCGTTGCCGGTGGAAGTGTCTGGCTGACAAAAACCGCCAGCCAGCCAGCCATCTTCAGTCATTTGTCTGCTTTGTCTAATTGTTGCCCTCAGACGGAGGCAGCCCCAGAGGCAATAGTGGCTCATGTTTTCTACTCTGATGCTAAGATTAAGAAGTACTAAGGAAAGAACAAGTATATTTTTAAACATGTTTTTATTAAAAATCGTGTATATGGCACATGGATTCACAAAGAAATGCAAAGAATGCTCTAGAGAGTGTAAGAGGATCAAAGAATAAAATTTACAAGCAGCGACAACAGAGATAAATGTTGAAAGATTGGTAGACATGTACAATGTGAGAATTGCAATTGTCAGTGAAGAGAACTGGTGTGGAGGTGGTGATTGTGCGGCAAAGTGATTGGCAAGTGCAGCTGCATTTGAGCAATAAGAGTGCGGTAAATGGGGTGAGCAAAGCAGGGTATATCACTAGATTAGGTTTGGGTGGCCTAGATTGAGTACTCATCCATTGAAAGAGGGGCGTTCAAAAGGGAAAGAAAAAGGGAGTAATGAGATGAAGTGTGATGACTGGCATATGTACAAGTGCAGGGTGAGGATGATGATGATACTATGTACATCATGATTAACCGGGAAGACTAGGAGTTGTGAGCTGAGGTGTTCAATGACTAAGAGTAGCTCAGCTGGTGGTTGTTCACTGGTTCAGATATTATGGTGCGCACCTAGTGCTCCATTGACTCCTCGGTTTGGGGTGAAAGGCTGCCTCGACTGGAAGCAGTGCATCCGTTGTCCTCGTGTTTTAGCAGGAGAGACATTCGCGAGAAGGTACGACTGCAGCTCTTGCAGTTGTACTTCTTCACTACTGAATGCGTCTGAAGGTGAGCACGCAAGTTGGATCGGTCGGCAAAGGCGCGATTGCAGAACTGACAGGCAAAAGGCTTCTCACCGGTGTGGGTTCGAAGGTGACCTAAGTGAATGAAAGAAAGAGAGAGTTGACGTTAGTGACCTTTTTCAGAAGACTTTCCCTTAGTCAGTAGTGCTTACCTTGAAGCAACCAGGGTCGAGAAAAGGCCTTTCCGCAGAGTTTGCACTTGCAGGGCAGTGTGTGCGTGCGGATGTGCATCTTGAGGGCACCCAGTGAGACGTAGACCTTCTCACAGTGCTTGCAGCTGAATGACTTCTTCACCTGGCTGGAGCAGTGAAACTCCTGGTGCTTTGCCAGGCCACTCTGAGTGGAGTAGCTCTTATTGCAGTCTGGACACTGGTATCGGTCTGACTTCTTGCTGGCAGTCAGTGGCATTTTGCTTCCGTAGTGCTTGCCAGTGCTTTCACCCAGCGAGTGCACGTCCTCTGAGTGTTCACTGCCTCGGCCGGAGTCATCTGAGCCATGGCTGCTAGGCGTCGGGGAGACCAGCTTGTTCACGCTGAAGTGTTCACTCCAGTTGATGCTGTAGGGTGGCAGGCGACTGCTGCTGTTGTTGCTGCAACTGGTGCTGACGTTCTCCATCATCGCTGCAGAGTAGTTGATGGGTTTGGAGTAGTTGGCTGGCTTCTCGTGGTGGTTCTTCTGGTGGTGCATGACAGCTGCAGACGACTGACTGAGGGGAGACAGACTGGATGGGGCAAAAACGGTGTTGCTGACAGTGGTGGTCTTGTTTGAGTTGCCCTCTCGGGTGCGAAGGAAGCCGGCAATCTTGGCAAATTTGCCCTGGTACGACATGTACGGCTCCTGGTACTGCAGTGGGGTAGAACTGTATGAGCTGGGGTAGGTAATTTTATTTGCCTTTTCATTCATTGTGTTGGTCTCTTTGAGAAGGCTTTTCATGCTTAGGTCGAGGCCTGATTAGGAGAAAACATTAAGTTGTAGATTTATAAAACACACTTTATATGCTGATGACTTACATTGGTTGTTGTCAACTCGATCAAAGCTGTATTTGGGCAGTGGCGTCTGGAAAACGGTGGACAACTCGTTTTCGTCATTGCGAGGTGATGACGAGCTGATGCTGTCTGTGGATGAGCTGGGCGATCCAAGAGAACCAGTGGAACCATTCGGTGAAAAAAGCTTAGGTGAGTGAGCCCGATGAGCTCCACCGGTAAACTCCGACAGAGCGGAGTGCTTCTTCTTGATGAGAAAGGCGCGAGGCATGGTTAGGCAAGTTAAGTGATGTACTTTGAAGTTGAAGGTGAAGTTGAAGTAGCAAAAAAATGAACAAGATTTGCAGTGATGCGGTTGAGCAGAAGTGGAATCAACAGGAGACTTTGGTGTTGGGCAAGAGACTACTGTTGCTTTCAGCTAGGAGTGCGGTACTCGACTGACGTCGAGGGGTACAGTGCAGCTCAATTTATTGGTCTCAGGAGACCGTTCGTCGTCGTCGGGTGACCGTCGAAGTGTGTGTCGGTGTGTTGCCGCTCACTGCAGCTCCTCTTTCCCTTCCCATTCACCACTCAGTGCAGCCCCCTCTCAACCTCCGCTTCACTGCAGTGTACTTTGCAACAGCAGCCGCGCAGGCTGATCAGGCAGGTGATGACCACTGCTGATGAAGGCAAAGTGCGCCCAGAGCAGTGCCCACTAGGCAGGGCCTCACACAGTGCCTGCTTCCCTACCTCCCGCTCATTCAGTCCTTCTTCAGTGATCAGTCTTCAGTGGAAGTAGTTAGCAGCGTCTGTGCTAGTGCCTCAACGAGGGGCCCAGCTAGCGGCAACAGATGCTGCAGTTACGCGTTGCAGAGGCCACCATCACCACCATCACCAACACGCGGCACGGTCAAAGGCAACTGCAACGGCAGTGGTAATACCCGGGTCAGTGGCAGAGGCAATGGCTTCGGCAGGCTGGAGGGACCAGGCAGGCTTCCTTCCTTCTTTGGCTGGAAAGTGCTGCACTATGACCACACTTGACCCCAGCAGTGCCTAAATGCGCCACTTTTATGGACTTGACAGAGCCGTATTTCACTCTCTGGCAGTGTTGGCAGTGCACACTTCATACCCTTGCTTCCGCTGCCGATGGAGGAAACTGCAGCAGTTCGTAGTCTCGTCAGGCCTTCTGCTCTCCTTCTCCTTCTCCTTCGTCTTCGTGTTGCCCTTTCAACTGTCCACTGACTTCAGCTGGCACTGGCCGCGTGCTCAACCATGCCAACGTGCTCACTCATTCACTCTCTGTGATGGTTGTGCTGGTCACACTTGTCCTCTCCTCTTGTCTGGCCGTCACGAGACGAGCAGCGTTTTCCTCAGACTCGCGTGCACTACTTTCCGCCGTCGCATTTGCCCTTCTCAGTCGACCTTATGTCGCCTAAAGGGTACTTCCTCTCTCCCCCTCCCTCCCTCGCTCACTCGCTTTATCAGTCATGACATGTCACATTAACACTGAGGCAAGTGTGTGCGAGAACACACTTTTCGATTATTGGTAAAAGTGTCAATTCGGTAGTTAGCAAATTCTTCTACCATAAAGCTAATTGCCGCATCATCGCATTTTTATTTGCTATCTCCAGTTTGCTAAACCGCACTTTGATTACCGCACAGTTTGAGAAGTAATGTCAAATGAAAGTCAAATCGAAAGTAGCCTTGAGTCCAGCGAGTGCAATCGATGTCAAATAAACGTCAACCAGGTGATTGATCGATGCAAAGGATTGCACAAAGGAACAACGGCATTTCGATTATTTAACGCATTGATTTGCTTTTAATTAGAATAACAATATACACGGTGACCCCCTCCTGAATCGAAGTAGAAGTGGCAGTTAATAACGAATTGATTAGGCTCAGGACAATTGATGTCTGCAGTCTGGTACCGACGGAGTACACACACTCGTCATTCAGTTGAGGCATTCATATGAAAATGGGCTGGAAGGGATGGATGGATGAAACAGTGGTTCCCAGGCAAACAGATACCTCCATATGGCCGCTCGTAGTCGCCGGTGATGGGGGCAATTTAATGCAAATTAACAAAGCTCGATAGAGTTAATGGGCAAATGCCATCGAAGGTGATCGAGTGCCGACAGTGGACAAAGGGATGGGGTAGGCAAAGGAGAGAGCGAAAGCGAGTGAAAGAAAAGGCAATTATGTCACTGAGACGCGGCAGACGAGGTGCTGAAGAAGATGAGGCGATGCACTGCAGTGCCAATGCCCGTCAGAAAGACACTGCAGTCGATCGATATACTCAATGGATGACAGTGCCAACCACTGCAACAGTTGACCTAATCGACCCTTGCCACTGTCAACAGTAGTGGTAAGGCACCGCCGTGGTGAGGTGACAGATAAAGTCGAATAGAGGTCGACCACTGCCTAAGCTACCTGACTGGCCTAGCTAGCTGGCTAGCTGATCTGCAGTGCACTAGAAATGACTGCAGTGGTCNGAGCAGTAGTGGTAAGGCACCGTCGTGGTGCGGTGACAGATAAAGTCGAATAGAGGTCGACCACTGCCTAAGCTACCTGACTGGCCTAGCTAGCTGGCTAGCTGATCTGCAGTGCACTAGAAATGACTGCAGTGGTCGACATCACAGAGAAAGACAACGGTGACGAGTGGTGTGAGCAGTATGGCAGCTAGGCAAACATCTTGCCGCCAATCAATCGATCACCTTCTCTGTGCTCTTCACATAAACAAACACACACACAGACACACACCATCTCCTGCTACCGGACCCGAAAAAAACTGCTCTGTCTGCCACCGTCTTTCCCTCTTTCTCTTTTCCCTTTTCACCATTGTCTCCCTACACACACACTCGTTCAATCGGTCTTTTCTTGAGATCGTCAAAGTTTATCTTTGCCCGCCAACTTGACCTACCGCTCTCCCTCATCATCAGGCGATCGATCGTCGAGATGTCACCTCAATTGAAGCTTCCTCACAGTGAACACACACACATTGGTGCCACCGATGCTGGTGCATTCTTTTAAATCAGCCTTCTACCTTTTCAGACAGTAGCCATCAATAGTTTGCATAACTGAAGATGTGTGTGTGTGTG